ATGCCCCTGTCTTCTGCTGCCAGCCCCAGGGCTCCTTGGACCAGTGAGGCAAGACACTGCAGGGGAGCCTGTGAGGCCCTGGGGCAGGGGTCGTAAAGCTGAGGAGCCAGCGACTGAAGGAATGAGCCTCCACTCAGCAGACAAGAGCAAGAGATGCAACACGCCTCCATGTTGCTCCTCTGGGGCAATTCTTCAAGGGTCTCTTCAGGCCCCTCAGGAAGGTCTGAGCGTGGCCATGCACCAGCCACCCTCAGCAGTGACCTGGGTAGTGCATCCTTGCTGTTTCTCCTGGGTCTCGCTCCTTTTGGTCCCTCTCTCCTGTTTCCTATGATCACCTCCGAGATAAACTCAGGCCCTTGTCTCAGACTCATCTGTTAGAGGAAACCTGAGCTATGGCAACTGCATTTATTCATTTGGTAATAAAATACTTGAGTTCCTACTGTATCCCAGAGTTGAACCATCTGTATAAGTTTGTTCTCGTGCTGCTATAAAGAAATATCTGAGACTGGGTAATTTATAAAGGAAACAGATTTAATTGATTCACAGTTCAGCCTGGCTGGGGTGGCCTCAGGAAACGTACAATCATGGCAGAAAGCAAAGGGGAAGCAAGGCACTTTCTTCACAAGGTGCAGGAAGGAGAAGCACCAAGCGAAGGGGGAAAGAGTCCCTTATAAAACAATCAGATCCTGTGAGAACTCACTATCACAAGAACAGCATGGGAGAAACGGCCCCCATGATTCAATTATCTCCACTTGGCCTCTCTTTTGACACATGGGGATTATGGGGATTAGAATTCAAGAAGAGATTTGGGTGTGGACACAAAGCCTAAACCATATCACCATCCAAGAAGAAAACGATGTAGGTAGCCTCACCCTTGAGAGCTCTTGGTCTAGGACATGACAAAATGTAATCTACTGAAATTGAAGTTAGCAGATTTACATCGGTATAGCTGCATAGACTGTACTAATTTCTTTTACTAAGAAATTGTCTCAGTCTCAGTTTTAGCTGAATTCTCAAGATAATTGGATTTGACTACCTTCACTTTCCAAAGTATGATACCAGGTCACTGAGGCAAGGCTTACAAAATCTTGTGACCATTAGTTGACCTCTCTTGTGTCAGTGGAGATACTGAGAGATGAGACGTCAACCACCACCTGTGGAAGTCTGTCTTGCAGACCCTGACTTAACGATGGATGAATGAATGCACTCTAACATCTGGTTCACTGATTCAAATGGGCTAGGGATGGGTCATCAGTGGCTTTTAGAGGGTGAAATGCAGCCAGTCGACCAAGAGCCCTTGTACATCCACACATTTATTCAGTAAATATTTCACAACAAAAGTTCTAAGTCAACACACTTGTGAATAATTAACATGGTTAAAAGAGTGGTTTTATGAATGATAAAAGCTTTAGATTCCAGGTCCAGAGGAAACACTATTAACTACTATTAACCAGTAATTCCCCTTTGATCTCCCCCTGAGAGGACCTTCCAGCACTAAGTTTACATAAGTAAACAGAGTAGAGAAAAAGGGATGTGGGGTCTTTGGCCTTTTCAGTCTTCCAAAAGGTTTGAGGCTAATCTGTAACATTCCCTAATATTTTCCTAATATTTTGCCAGCCACCCCTAGTGAATTCCAAAAGAGAGAGGTTGAGAGAAGCAGATTATAAGGGCTTTAAAAAAACCATGGCTGATGCTTTAATGAGGCTAAAAACTTATGAGTCATGCCTTTTATGATTTCAGCCCATGGGAGAAAAATAAGATCCCCTCTTTCTTCACATCACATGTAGGAGAGATGGTGCTCCATCTCCAAGCACCAAGGATATGTCACCCTCTCCAAGTGATTCCAATGAGGTTGATAGGTCTGCCAGGCTTAGGGACATGGTGGGCAGGTGTCTGATCCTTGACTTGTGATTGACTCATGTTCTGCCTGCTCATGGAGCAAAGAGCTGTGTCCTTGGGACAAAGAAGGCACATGGATTTCTCAGGAAGCTCATAGGGACCTATGGGGCCGGGGGAGAGGGGGGAGAGAGAGAGCAAGAGCGAGAGAGAAAAAAAAAGTGGCAGCACCAGGATGTCTTAAATCCTGCCCAGAAGGATCTCTAGGACTCTGGAGACCTCTACAGAGTGAATCACCAGGTGCCTTGGATTGACAGAGGCATCTTAAGCCACCAACCTGCATCACAGAATTGCAAACAAGAGATTCCTACCTGGTTGCAGGGGTGGGGAAGAAGGCAGTGCACAGCTCCTTCCATTGTCCCATAAGACCTCTCCATCAGGACCCTGTCTGTCTGTTCACCTTCACCAGTTTCTGGATTCATGAGGCCACACCACCCCACTTCCTGCTGCCCTTCAAACACAAGATTGCCTCTGCTTCAGAGGACCAAGTCGGCTTGGGAGAGATTTCCAGACTCACGGAACTGGCTTTTCATTATTGCTCTGTTTCATCTCAATCGTAACCTCCTCAGCAAGGCTGGCCTTCCCAGGAACCCTGGCTAAAGCATTTCCCAAGCCTTGGTCATTATGTTACCTTTTTTAAAAAACAAAAAACAAAAAACTTTTTTTGGCTCTACACCCACTCATCAGGAGTAAAAAACTCAATATATTTTCAGTAAATGAAGAGCAGGTATTGACTCAGCATTCAAATCGAGGTCCAACAGATCCACATTGGTGAAGAGTTGCAAGAGCCCTGCCCAGAGCAGCTGAATTCTGCCAGATTCTGTAACTTCATGCAGCTTTACACCTGCACTGGCCAATACACTTGGCCGCCGAGCAACCGAAAGGCAGCGAGTGCCATTTGTTGAAATGATAACGTTTTGGACATGCTGAGTCAAATAAGAAATGACACACGTGGTTCTCATCATGTGTCTATTGGACAGCGCTACCCCAAGCCTAGGCAAGTCATTTGGCTTCTTGCTGTCTACTGTCTTCTCCAGCCGACTGTAAGCTCCCTGCGGACAAGGCCTGCTCCGTTCAAGGTTGGATCTCCAGCTCCTGACACACGCTAGGTGCTCAGTCACTAACGGTCACGCGAAGGAGTGAGGAGTGAGTGAAGCAGGGACTGCTGCCTGGAAAAGGTGAGGGGGCTGGAAACGGGTGGTCCCCGAGGCATCTCCCACCCGGGACCTCGGCCGCGGCCGCTCTAGCAGCCGGGCTACTCCGGGTCAGAAGGAAGCAGAGACCCGGGGTGCAGCCGAGGCGCCCGGAGGGAGGAGGGAAGGGAGAAGGGGAGGGAGAAGGGGAGGGAGAAGGGGAGGGAGAAGGGGAGGGAGAAGGGGAGGGAGAAGGGGAGGATCGCCCACCCCAGCCCCAGCCTGGCCCCATCTCCGGGCAGCTCGGGGTCTCCAGGCGGCGGTTTCCAGGCAACGGCCGAACACAGCCGCGGGCTAGACGCGGGCGCTGCCAACCTGAGGCCGGCGGACTCCGACTGGGCACTGGGCGGGCAGGAAGGACCTCGGCCAAGGCTAGCGCCCCTGGCGCTAGACCGGGGCGGCATGGAGGACGAGGAGGAGGAGACCACCGCGTCCACGCTGCGGGGCAAGCCCAGGCGGCTGCCCGTCTCGGCGCTTTCCGCCTTCAGCTACATCCCGCCGCGGCGTCTGGACCCCAAGGAGTACAGCTACTACTACCGCCAGGCGCGGGTGAGGACTGCGGGCGGGGTGCAGAGGCGGGGAGGCGGGGCAGGCGCAGGCGGCCGCGGAGGGGCTGGGAGAGGGGATCACCCCTGCGGAGGGGTCCTGGGGGCGGGGCTCACCCAGGGGGTGAGGGCGCGGGAGCGAGGCTCACCTTAGGGGAGGAGGCCTGGGGGCGGGGCTCACCCAGGGGGAGAGGGCGCGGGAGCGAGGCTCACCTTAGGGGAGGAGGCCTGTGGGCAGGGCTCACCTTAGAGGAGGGGTCCTGGGGGCGGGGCTCGCCTTAGGGGAGGAACTCTGGGGGCGGGGCTCACCTTAGAGGAGGGGTCCTGGGGGCGGGGCTCGCCTTAGGGGAGGAACTCTGGGGGCGGGGCTCACCTTAGAGGAGGGGTCCTGGGGGCGGGGCTCGCCTTAGGGGAGGAACTCTGGGGGCGGGGCTCACCTTAGAGGAGGGGTCCTGGGGGCGGGGCTCGCCTTAGGGGAGGAACTCTGGGGGCGGGGCTCACCTTAGAGGAGGGGTCCTGGGGGCGGGCTCACCTTAGGGGAGGAGGCCTGTGGGCAGGGCTCACCTTAGAGGAGGGGTCCTGGGGGCGGGGCTCACCTTAGGGGAGGAACTCTGGGGGCGGGGCTCACCTTTAGGGAGGCGGTCTGGGGGTGGGGCTTGCCTTAGAGGAGGCGGTCTGGGGGCGGGGCTCACCCTCGGCGTGGGGGCGGGGCTCACCTCAGCGTAGGCGGCCTGGGGGCGGGGCTCACCTTAGAGGAGGGGTCCTGGGGGCGGGGCTCGCCTTAGGGGAGGAACTCTGGGGGCGGGGCTCACCTTAGAGGAGGGGTCCTGGGGGCGGGGCTCGCCTTAGGGGAGGAACTCTGGGGGCGGGGCTCACCTTAGAGGAGGGGTCCTGGGGGCGGGGCTCGCCTTAGGGGAGGAACTCTGGGGGCGGGGCTCACCTTAGAGGAGGGGGCCTGGGGGCGGGGCTCACCTTAGGGGAGGAGGCCTGTGGGCAGGGCTCACCTTAGAGGAGGGGGCCTGGGGGCGGGGCTCACCTTAGGGGAGGAGGCCTGGGGGCGGGGCTCACCTTAGAGGAGGCGGCCTGGGGGCGGGGCTCACCTTAGGGGAGGGGTCTGGGGGTGGGGCTTGCCTTAGAGGAGGCGGTCTGGGGGCGGGGCTCACCCTCGGCGTGGGGGCGGGGCTCACCTCAGGGTAGGCGGCCTGGGGGCGGGGCTAACCTTAGAGGAGGGGTCCTGGGGGCGGGGCTCGCCTTAGGGGAGGCGGCCTGTGGGCAGGGCTCACCTTAGGGGAGGGGGACTTCGGGGTGGGACTCCCCTTAGGGGAGAGGAATGGGGCGGGGCTCACTTTAGGGGACTTGGCCTGGGAGCCGGGATGCGCCGCCGGTGACTGGCGAGAGGATCACAGCGTGGAGGGTCCCTGGGAGGGGCTGCAGCGCTAGGGATTGGGGATAGAGCTCCCAGCGTGTAGGAGCCCTAGAGGAGGAGAGCACCTTCGGGCAGGGACCCTGGGGGCAGGACTTCACTTCACTTCCAGGGGTAGGTTCCGAGGGGCGGAGCTGGACAGCCTGTGGAGGGGGCCGGGTGGGAGCAGTCGTGACTCTCTGCACAGTCAGCTGGGGAGACAGGCTGGGCGAGCTCCCATCAAGGCGCCTGGACCTCAAAAAGTACAGCTAAGGCGACCACCAGTGTCAGCTGAACTCTTTGGAACCAGGGAGGAGCCGGGGGTGAGAGTGGATGTCTCAGCTGGGACTAGGGGCTGAGGGTCGCGGGAATGCTCAGCTGGGACCCGGTGCTCTTCCGGAAAGGGAGTAGGAGCCACTAGGTGTCAGGATCCCTCAAAAGCTCAGTGGCTCTGCCGGGACAGCAGGGCGCTTTTTCTGCCCAGGTTCTGGAGCGGGTCGCGGGAAGCTGGGGCCGCCCAGCGGGTCTTTCTGCAGGTCTGTCTGCGGCGGGCCCAGGGTAGCAAGGAAACAAGGCCTTGCCCGGATGGTCCAGGGCGCGGGAAACCCGCCGCCCTCCTGCAAACCGAAGACCAGGAAGAAGAGCTGGAGAGCCGCCTGAAGGGAGGGCTGGACTGAGAGTGGTCACTCTGTTCTGTCCCGGCCCCAGTGGTCCGTGCCCTTCCTGGGATGGGCTCTGCGGGTCTGCGAAGGCCACCTCCCACCAGCAGCCAAAGTAGCAAAAAGTAGCAAATTCAAAGCCAGCTGGGGGTCATCTACTCCTTTCTTCTCACCATTGTTCCTAAATGTCTCCAGTATGTCTTGCTCAGGATGCAGAGGCAGGGGCCTCATTGCTGAAAAGGAGCATTCATTGGGGACCCTCAGCCTGCGGGCATAACTGGGACAGGCCTTTCTAATTCAAGTTGTCCTGGTGGCTTGAGTGGCTAGAGAAGTGGCTATAGATTAGCCAGGTGTCTGGGGGGAAGGAGATCGTTCCCTTATGGTGTACAAGGTATTACCAGAAAATGCATCCTTCCTTTTCCCCCTCCCGTCCCCACGATCCTAGACCTCAAATAAAGCCCTCTTCTGATCGGGTCGGCACATATTGGCCCGTATGCCACACATAAAGTGTAAGCACTCATGGACAGCCTCAATGGAAGCAATCGTGTTTCTAGTTTAGACAACTGCTGTCAGTTGAATTGTGTCCCCTTGAAATTTATGTTTTGGAGTCCTAATCCCCAATACCTTAGAAGGTGAACTTATTTGGAGATAGAATTTTACAGAGATAATCAAATTAAAATGAAGTCATTAAGATAAGCGCTGTTCTAGTATGACTGGTGTCCTTGAGAAATGGGTAAATTTGGATATAGAGGCAGACATACATGTGTTAGTCCTTCTCACACTGCTAACAAAGACATACTCAAGACTGGGTAATTTGTAAAAAGAGGTTTAACTGACTCACAGTTCAGCATGGCTGGGGAAGACTCAGGAAACTTAAAATCAGGGTGGAAGGGGGTGCAAACAGGTCCTTCTTCACATGCCAGCAACAAGAAGAATGAGTACCCAATGAAGAAAGAAGACCCTTATAAAACCATCCAGTCCAGTGAGAACTAACTCACTATCAGGAGGACAAGATGGGAGAAACTGCCCCCAAGATTCAGTTGTCTCCACCTGGTCCCTCCCAGGACATGTGGAAATTATGGAAACTACAATTCAAGATGAGATTTGGGTAGGGACACAGCCAAACCATATCAGGGAGGATGATGTAAAGGGATAGAGGGAGAAGACGGCCGCTTACAAGCTTCAGGGAAAGGTCTGGAATGGGGCATTCCTTCACAGCTGACTGCTTGATTCCATACTTCTGGTGCCAGAACTGTGAGACAATGAATTCTGTTGGTTAAGCTACCTCATCCGTGGAACTTAGTTTGTGCAGCCACAGCTGACAAATACAGCTGCCATAAACCTCAGCCGGCTGCCAGGAGGATCTCTGGTATCTGATAGCTCCTCTCTGCTTGGCCTTTAGCAATATGCAAAGACATGGGGGGGAAAGGGACATTTGCAATCAGATCTGTCTCTGCAGCCCTGTTTGCCTGTTCTCCCAGGCTCGACTATCCACTGGATATTAAGACAGGGGAAAGGACACGAGGGGATGATAAATTCCCAATCTCATTGCCTCCAGGGACTTCAGTTTTTTCCTCCTGGGAGCAGTATGTTTGAAAGAACTGCTACCTATACATAATTTTATTTATTAAATGAATTTTACATTTTAAATATTAAATACTCACGTGACTGCCAATAAAGTCATGATTAATGCATAGCAGTAATGCACAGCATGAGATAAGCAGCTGAAAGAGTAAGGAGTCTTGTTGTGTTAAGTTGTTCTACGTTGTTTTGCTAAGAGGAAATAAAATTCTTCTGACTGTTGGTCAGAATAAAAACACTGGTAGTATGCCACTTTTTAGGGGTCCTGTAAATAAGATAAAATATACATCTGGGGGCACTAGGAAAAAGAGCAGCACCCCCATCCCTGTGGGCCAGTTAACTGCCTAGGGAAAGAGGGTGGAATTGAGCCTGGCAGGCCCAGTTCATTCTTATATTTACTAGTCCAATAAACAGCACCACCTTCCTGGGACCAAACTAACCAAAGGGCAGAGAGATGGCCGAGGTGTGAAGTGACAGGGACTCCGTCACTTAGAAAGAGGTCATTTGGGAGTGGGCCAGAAATCTGTCCCTTTAATGCAGGGGTCAGTGAACTGAGGCTCCTCGGCCAAATCTGGCCAGCTGCCTATTTTAATAAATAAGGTTTGACTAGAACACAGCCTCACACCTATGTGTTTAGCGTGTCTATGGTTACCCCAGAGTTGTGTAGATTTGGCAGAGACCACGTGATCTGCAAAGGCTAAAAAAAAAGTTACTACCTCACTCTTTACAAAAAAAGCTTTCTGCCCCCTGCTCTAATGTATCACTACCTTCTGGAAGGTAGGTATGGAACTTAAAACAAATTAATGCAAAGTGGATTTTTGAAAGAAAAGGTAATTTTTTTCCATGCAGTTTGGATAGTTGAGGTCACAAACAAATTTAAGTCCTGAGACCACACAAGATAGTGATGTAACATAAATGTTAACATCTAAGTTAAAACAGCCTTGAAAGCAACAAGAATAACAAAAAAACATGTTGAAGCCCATTTGACAAATAGCTACCAATGGTAATAATCCACTCCTCGGGATGATATAAACTGGCATTTAATCAGCTGCAGGACCAAAGAACCAGAGTCTCTGACCTGGAGATTCTTTGGAATAGAGAGGGTAAATTCTGTATCACAGGTTTGCTAGAGGACTCAGTTAAACCTAAATTTACTGTAAATAATTTCAGGCCTTAATTTGGAAGGCCAAGGAGGGTGGATCACTTGAGATCAGGAGTTCAAGACTAGCCTAGCCAACATGGTGAAATCCTATCTCTACAAAAAATGCAAAAATTAGCTGGGTGCCGGTAGTCCCAGCTACTCGGGAGGCTGAGGCAGGAGAATCACTTGAGCCCAGGAGGTGGAGGTTGCAGTGAGCCAAGATCATACCACTGCACTCTGGTCTGGGTGACAGAGCGAGACTTCATCTCCAAAATAATAATAATACGAGCTGACTGGTAGAAACAGTATGGAATTAGTTCTTAAGCCAATGCTATGGTCTGAATATTTGTGTTCCCCCAAAATACATATGTTGAAATCACAACCCCCAACGTGACAGTATTAGGAGGTGGGTCTTTGGGAAGTGATGAGGACATGAAGGTGGAGCCCTCATGAATGGTATTATCACTCTTGTTAAAAGGACTCCAGAGGCCGGGCGCGGTGGCTCAAGCCTGTAATCCCAGCACTTTGGGAGGCCGAGGCAGGTGGATCACGAGGTCAACAGATCGAGACCATCCTGGTCAACATGGTGAAACCCCGTCTCTACTAAAAATACAAAAAATTAGCTGGGCATGGTGGCGCGTGCCTGTAATCCCAGCTACTCAGGAGGCTGAGGCAGGAGAATTGCCTGAACCCAGGAGGCGGAGGTTGCGGTGAGCCGAGATTGCGCCATTGCTCTCCAGCCTGGGTAACAAGAGCGAAACTCCATCTCAAAAAAAAAAAAAAAAAAAGAATAAAAGGACCCCAGAGAGCTCTGTTGCCCCTTCCAGCATGTAAGGACACAATGAGAACGTGCCATGTAGCAACCATAAAATGTTCCCTCACCAGACACCAAATCTGCCAGCGCCTTGATCTTGGACTGCCCAACCTCAAGAACCTTGGGAAATAAATGTCTGTTGTTTATAAATCACCCAGTGTATAGGTATTTTGTTATAGCAATGTGATGGGACTCTTCTGTTTAGTTTATTTCTGTGTGACACACAATAGTGTGTGTACTGATTAGCTAGTAGCACAGGCTGAGCAATCCTAGGCTGAGCAAAATATTGGCTCCATGTTGACCAGTCATGCCGTCTTGCCATGCTACACACACACTGTTCCATTCTGCCCATCTTTAAGGCAAATGGCACCAACTTCACAGAGCTCTTATGTGAATGACTTTAATTAATCAATGCAAAGTGGCACAAAGTAAGCCCAATGTAAGTACAGCTGTTATTACTATTTGCTTTTGTTGGTGACTCTTAGAGCTGCTTTTCACTAAGTGCTAGGTCCCAGTGGCAAATCTCATATCCCTGATCCTCGTTTGCTGTAAGAAATTAACATAAGTGAAGGCAAAATGTGAGGGTCAATCTGTGACTTCTAATCCTCTAAAGCAGTTCACTTCAGGGAGCCCACAGAGTGGATGCACTGAAGGCTGCACACTTATTTAAAGCCCCAGTAATGCCTCCAAATCGTAAAACAAATTTGTCATCTAAAGCTGCCAGCAAAAATGTGATTGGCTTCTGTACTGCTCCCTAGGGAGTTCTAGTAGCATGGGCTTTGCCCATAAAATATGGTTCCTGTGGCAGCAAAGCAGATTCTGTTCAACGGTGTTTTTCAATTACTTTTTTCTTCTTCTGCCTTGCGCAGCATTTCTGCTGCAAAATGAAAAAGCAGAGCCAAGCCCTTTTATGAAGGTTTTGATTAAATTTTTCAAAGTC